CCCTGCAGAGCTCTCACCGGGCAATGGGCAGTCGGTCCCAGTTTATTCCTAATGATTCAGGAATTCATGGAGCAGAGCCAACAATAAAGCAGCACAGTGATAGGAATATGTAGTCAGGACCCCCAAGACCAGGTCCTTTTCTGGAACTCATTGTTCAGCCAGCCCATAGTCATAGGAACACGGGTACAATGAAGTCAGAAAAGTAAAAACCACAGCAGAATAGTGCTTGTAGGAATGGAATGAAAGCTGAATCATGCCACAGTGGGAGCTGTTGCAAGGGGAAAACTGTGAGCCAGAAGGCCAGATTTCCTCTATCAACAGCCACTGAGAAGGGGGCAGGGAGGGAAACTCAGATTTCCCAGCAGTATGGCAGGTCTTGGCACCGCCTCAGTCCCCCTGCTGAACTTCCACAAATAAACATTCAAAGCAGAAGGGACAGATTTGCTTCTCAGCAAGATTTCAAAGCTGTGCACTAGAATTAAAGAGAAAACAGGAAGGATCACAGGGGAAGGAGGAGGCGGGGAAGAGGAGGGGCACGCAAGCCTAGAGCCAAATCAGATGGGAAAGCTCCCAACCCCTCACCTGAAACTGATGAAACTGATGCACCACTTTTCTTTAACGAGGCACGAACATTGCAGGTAGTGCTGGCAGTAATGATACCCTGGGCCCAGCTCCTACCTTCTGGGCTTCAAGCTGGGGGCGTAAGCCTGAAAAGGCCCTAGGCGGAGGAGACAAGTTCCTTCAAGCTATCTCAGCAGAGGTGAAACCAAGAGGGGCTGAATCTTCTTGGAAAAATTTGGTCACCTGCTTTATCTGTTGTGGAGCACACCTAGCTCTCAAGTCAGCTGTGTGTGTGTGTGTGTGTGTGTGTGTGCGCGCGCGCACATGAGCAGGTGCAGCCATGTTGGAGGGCATGGTGGGTGTGCCTGAGTGTACCTGCATGAATGGCCGGGGGAACCAGGCCATGTGTCCTGCGTTTGGCTTTGAGGATGACAACACTCACTTCGGACCTCAAAGGGATAGAGGAAAAACACAGCTGGTTAGTAGAAGCTAACCCCCTTCTGGTTCTCTATGCTCCACAGGTTTTCTGGTCCCAGGGGTCGCGCCCCCAAGCCACCCACACCCCGGCTCCTCACATAGTGCAGGAAGGTGCTGTCACAGTGGTTTACTGAGATTTCCTCCTCTTTCTTTGTTAGTGAGAACTGACTTGACATTTAATAAAATCGTATTTATACGCAGACTACGTGCACACAGAAACAGCCCAGAGCAAAGGACCAGCCCTCCCGCTGGGTGCAGCATGGCTGGGCGCCAACCAGCTGCAATAACAGCCTGGCCAGGCGGGCGGGCTGTGCTGCTCTGCACCAGCTTTGAGCCTCTCCAGGCTGGCCTCTGGCCCATTTTCCTAAAAACACAAGAAGGATGGGTACAGCAGTAATAAAAATAAAATCTCATTATAATGCCTGTAATTTCTTTTAAGTCATGTATCAGTATTTTATTTATTTATTTATTTATTTATTTTGCGGAACCGGGGATTGAACTCAGGCCCTTGCGCTTGCCAGGGAAGCGCTTATTCCACTGAGCCATCTCCCCGGCCCCCCAGTATTTTAGAAAAGATGTGTAGCAGCTCTATTCATTTGCCTAATGGAAGAGCGCATTCCAAGGGCACCAGAGAACTAGATGGGTCTGTGTGTTTTGGTCAGATCTTTCTCCAAAGAGGGGAAGCTAGGATAAGAGGCTGGTGAGTAGGGGCAGTCCTGGAGGCCACCAAAGCCACTGTCACCCTGGGGTCCTTTTCTAGGCAAAATCTGGGTCCACTTAGGCTCTGTGGCTCTGTGGCTTGTTAAGGTCACAGGAGAGGAGGAGCATTGCCTCAGCACTGTCTTAGAGGTGATTAGATGAGGGCTTTGAAGCCTTCAAGGCATTTGAGATACAATGGTTTCTCTGGTCTACAGAAGCTGGAACTGGGGGCTGGTGAGATGGCTCAGTGGTCTAAAGCACCTACTTAGAACAAGCTTAGCAAAGCACAGGGACCGCGGTTCAGTCCCCCAGCACCACACGCCAGCCACCCCGCCCCCTGGTGGGCTGAGCTGGCCACACACATACACACACACACACACACACACATACACACACACACACTTTTAAATATTTAAATTTAAAAAAAGAAGCTGGAACTGTAAATCAAACTCCTACATTCCAGGCCATTGATTCTGAACTCTGGCTGGACTTTGGAATTATCTGGGAAGCTCTAAAGAAATAGTGAAGTACAGGTTATACCCTATTCCAACTGACTCAGAATCTCAGAGGATGGTGGCTGCTTATGTACCATTTTTAAAGTTCTGTGGGTGATTTCCTCCTCTTTCTTTGTTAAGAAACAGCCTAGAAAAGACTGTTCTGCAGAACAGGTGTTCCTGGTGTTGGTCTTTCTCAGCTTTACTGCTGTGAACTGGCTTGTTCCCTGGTCTCTGACCTTACTGTGGAGCCTTGGCCCCAGCATAGGACCTAACCTTAGCAGGTGCTGCTGCAGGCATGAGCACATGGACACATGCACAGTGGTGGTGAGCCAGCACCCAGTACCTCGCTGAGATCAGAAAGGGAACCTAGCCAAGTAAGCCCCTGGTTTCGGAGCTGAGTACTTGCCAGGGCAGCATGTAAGGGCAGAAAGAAAGCCTTTCTGGTCTTTCTTGTCTGCAAAGTAAGCAAATAAATCCAATGGCCTGAAGTTGGAGTCAGCAACAGTTCAAATTTTCAGTGTGCTATTGAGAGGCAGTGGAGCCTTCAAGAAAGAGAGCTTAGTGGGAGGTCTTCAGAGCATTAGGGACATGCTTTGAAGGGAATCATGGGCACCCAGCCCCTTCCTTTCCCTCTTGTTTGCTTACTAGCCATATAATGATTTGCCTTGGCCCCAAAACCTACAAGACCAACTGAGTATGAACTATGGGGCCAACTGAGTACAAACTGGAACTTCAAAAACTATGAACCAAAAGAACCCTTTTTCCTCACCTATTGTTCATCTCAGGTGTTCAGTAGAGGAATCCCAGGCAGCGAACACACTGTCACTACTGCAAAGCTGTGCTGCAGTGTTCCCCGTCCTGCTACCCCCCAGGACTCTCCTCAGAATTGACAGTAAGGACCCAGGAGAAAAATTTAACAATACCAGGCAGTGGCCAAGGTACATCGAGAAAAGAAGCATGACTCTATTCCCTTTTTTTTTTTTTTTTTTTTTTTTTTTTTTTTTTTTGGAAAGGGTGGAGAGGGTGTTCAGGGTCTCACTACTAGATCAGACCCGTAGTGATCCACCTGTTTACAGCCTCCCAAGAGCTGGGATTATAGGGCATGTGCCACCATGCCCAGTCTCAATTGCCATCTCAGTGTGCCCCAGGGGGCAAGGCCAGCATGTCTGCCCAGGGATTGAACCCCCTGGCCACTGTGCCTCCTCTTCTGAGCTATTTGGCCAGCCCTCTATTCCCTTCTTAATGACAAGAAGAGGGCTAAGTTATTGTGGCTAGGCTGCGTAGGCATGGCCCACATAGAGAAAACGGATCTCTTTCTTTCTGCCCTAGAGGAGCAGGGAGTCCCAGCAGCTCTGTGACCCAGCACTGTGCTCTTGGCTATACGGAGTATGGCTGCCCAGAATAAGGCATCTTTGTCATCTTATTCTTCTGTTTAACTCTGAAACAAACCGAGGAATGTGTCCTTTGGGCTCCTTTTAAAACTTTGGACAGAAATGTTTAGACCACACGCCGTTTTAGTCTCTGCAGCGTGGGAAGTCTGAAGTCCTTTTCTGGGGCCCTAGATTCTCAGCAGTGGTGGCACCCCAGGTCTTGACCCTTTTACCCACTTGGAGGGGCCCACCCGGATGATCTGGGAAGCTTGGAGAGCAACTTCCAAGGGAAAGTCACAGTTTGAAAGGAATTCTGGCAGAAACTGTGGGGTCTTGTTTTGTTTTGTTTCATTTTTAAAAGCCTTAAAGACAAGCTGACAATGGGTTTTCTGGGATTTGAGAGAATACCGTAGCAGTAGAAAAAATATGCATTCCCTAAATCAGTTGCTAGTGGTTGACATTCCTTCCAATACTGTTCCAAAAATTAAAATGTAGACAAAAGAAAAAACAATTTGATGCTAGAAATGATGTATACAAGATGTCACCTTCTCCAAAGGTCTGAGTGCTGCTCAAAGTGTGGTCAAGGTGACCGCTAGCAGAGTCTTTTAAGGTAATAGGAATTCTCCTGCACCAGGTTTGGGGGAGGGACGTAGGATTTGCATCTTGTACCAGCCTCTGTGGTGATTTTCATGCACCTTGCAGTTTGACAATCTTGGTGCTATACCTCCTTTATGTGATTCCTCTCGCAAAGGAAAAGATACCAGCACCTGTAAGAATTTGGTCTGATGTGCAGTTCTAGAACAAATTGAGCTAGATCTAGGATTTTCAAACCTTTGAAGAGAGCACGTTATCATTTTTTTTTTTTTTTTCTTCTTTCAGAACCAGGGATAGAACTCAGACCCTTGCACTTGCCAGGGAAGCGCTTATTCCACTGAGCCATCTCCCCGGCCCCTCAAACCTTTGAGACTGAAATTTTCTTTTCTTTTTCTTTTTTTTCTTCTTTAGAAGCAGTAACTTTTGAGGTCAAGACCAGACTCAGAGAAAAAAGCATGAAATCTTCACTTAGTACAAAATTTATTACACACATTTATATATAGTTTTGTTTTTCTACCACTCTTAGAAAGTATTATACTTATTGTTTTGATGAATAATAGGGCCAGGAAAGTTTTATATCTTGCTTACAACCACTAACTAAGGACATGACAGGGCAATAGTCAAGCCAGGCCTCCTTCTTCCCTGACTAGCACTGCTAGAGCTGTGGAGAGCACTCACCCCTCATTTGGAGTGAACACACACCTGCCACAAATGCATAACTGATGACAATTCTAATCTGGACTCCTGGATCCCTGCCCCAAGAGTCCCTTTCAAGGGGAGAGCACCGAGACCCTTTCCTTACCACATGGAAGAGCTTGAAGAAGTCCACATTGGCATACAGAGTGTCTTCTATCCACTGTAGGGTGCCCTGGGAGAGGGAACATAGGGCATCACGCACAATATTCGCCCCACGTCGCTGGTTGAAAATGATGAAACGTTCTAAAAGAGCCTCACTGCAGGCAATGTCCTTCAGCGCCAGGTCTGGGACTCCATGAGCAAACTGTAGGGAGGAAAAGGCACACTTGAACCCTCCTTGTGTTCCAGAAAATCTGTATCCCCCTCACCCACAGGACCTATAAGTACAGCACATTCCATGGTGAAGGGAATTAAGGGGGGGGAAGGAGATTAAGCGTGCTAATTAGCTGATTTCATGATAAGATCCTTTTGAGTTAACTGGGTGGGCCCAGTGTAATCATGAGAATCCTTGCAATGTGGAAGAAGGAGGCAGAAAAAACAGAATTAGAGTAATGGGATGAGGGGAAGGCTTGATGGGCCCTTGTGGGCCATGCAGGCGGATGGAGATCGCTAGGTAAAGATCACTGGACAGTCTTTCTAGAAGCTGGAAAAGTCAAGAAGACAGACTTCCCTTTAACTACCCCAGTAAGGGGCAGCTACTGGAACCTTGACTTTCAGACTTCTGACCTCCAGAATCTCAATATAACAAATCCATGTTCTTTCAAGCCACTAAGTTTGTGGTAACTTGTTATGGCAGCACTAGGAAACTCTAACGCCTCCCACTCCTCACTGTGTCAGGGAGCCTTTTCAGTTTGAAGGATTGCCTTCTTTACACATGATGCTGTGGTGCAGGCAAGACCTCCTTGCAGCTGAGGTGGAATGATGACGGGAACACGCTTGAAGTGATGACAAATGGCCAACCTCTGCCCTCTGTTCTTTTTTTTTTTTTTTGTGGAACTGGGGATTGAACTCAGTCCCTTGTGTTTGCCAGGGAAGCACTTATTCCACTGAGCCATCTCCCCGGCCCCTGCCCTCTGTTCTTGCCAAATTCAGCACATAAAAATACCAGTGGTCTGGTTAAATGTGAACTTCAGATATATAATAAGCGATTTTCTAATACAAGTGTTTCCCAAGGAGGGTCTAAATCTGACATAATTATGCTAAAAATTGTCACTTAATGTGGAGGACCACCTGAGCAGCTCTCCTTGAAAGAAGAGCGATTGTCTCCATTTTGGCTGAGCCTGACCCTATTTCCTTGTATTGTTATGTAGAGAGCTGGCTAGGACTTCTGTTTATCCTTCAGTTGGCCTTAAGCAATGTCTATTGGTCTAGCTGAGGTGCTGGTGATAGTCTTTGAAGGTGGGGTGCGTGTTTCCCTGATAACCTACACCTGCCGCTCTTTAATGTGAGCGGGGTTGAGACAGGACGGTAGAGCTAATGCTCCGCGGCGCCAGCTGGGATCGAGCCTCGAGGGACAGAGGCTATGACTTCCTGGGACTTGAAAGGCTACACCAAAGCGGAAGCACCAGACTTACCAAAATGTTAGATACTGGACCAGGGGCCTGCGGGATCCTGAACAGACCCAGAGCGCAGGCGGGCGAGTGAGTGAGACAACCTGGGGCCTGGCGGGCTCCTGACAGACCCAGAGTGCAGGCCTGGCGATTGAGTGAGCCGACCCAGGCCGCGGGATCCTGAACAGACCCAGAGCGCAGGCCCGGCGAGTGAGTGAGACGACCTGAGGCCTTCCGGATCCTGAACAGATCCAGAGTGCAGGCCGGTGAGTGAGTGAGACGACCCAGGCTGCAGGCCCAGCAGGGAACCCTTCAGCAGAACTCCCTGCAAAGAGGCTAGAGGCAAGACCCACCCAGCCGATTCAGGAGCAGAACATCTTCCCAGAGAAACACAAAGGGTTCAACTCTAATGTCTGTGGCAGAAAGAAGTGGAGCACACAGCCAGAATCAAACAACATCCACCTGGAGGAATCAGAACTTCATAGATCTGGACCTGGTGCTAAGGTAATAACTCTATCTAAGCTCTACACCAAAGGTCAGAAGACAGTGGTATACAAA